AAAGGTACATCATTTGCTCTATTGATCCAGTCATTAGAACTCTGCTGGCCAGTTTGTTCTGAAGAAAAAGATGGTGCAGACGGTTCATATGGGCGACGACTGAATGGCAATGTTGTGTCAGGTTCAGAAACTCGCATGACATCTATTTGAGTTGTTCGTACATGATAGGGGAACAGTTTATTACTTCTGGCTGGCATAGTCATGAACTGTAAAATATATGAAAACAAATGTTATAATCAAAACAAAACTACATTTGTTAGATTAACTACAAACTTCTCCTAGACTATTGTGAAATTCAGTTCCAAACACAATTACAAATATCTTCATGATAAAATGAAAAAATTAAGCTTTATCCTCATATGTTATAAAGTTTTTAATTATTAATTTAGGTAAAGGTTTTATAAAGGATTGTATTATGTCTTTACAATTGCATGCAAATAAATTTAATTTTGTAGTAAATTTTCAACCAATGTATTGCATGAGATCAAAAAGTGTAAGTTATCTCAAGAATTTATAAGAAAATAAAATTGTAGTCTAGAATTTCCAGAGATACAATTTACACTTTCAAATTTTCCATTAAAATAAGTTTATGAGACTTACTAAGAAAAGAGTATGGCCAAGAAGAGCTATTGTATGCAATGCTCCACATACTATACTTTCTCGCACCCAATGATCCACAAAAACAGTAGCAACCATGATTAGTGCTGGCCCAGCAACAAACCTAGGTCATAAATACATAAATTTATCTTTTTACAATAAATCTCAAGACTATGTGTTTTAAATACAATCTTGGTATGGATTTGAAAATAATTTTTCACCACTGATAAATGTAATGAATATAAAAAAATACATATATCTTTTGTACAGATGATAAATTTCTGGTCTTCTCATGCTAAATAAAACTTTTGTAAAAAAAATACAATTTAAAAGTATTACTTTAAAAATATGATGATATCCTTACCACAATGTACCCAACAAGTTGAAAGGGTAGTAGAAATTTGATTTCTCTGGGTAATGTTGAAGAGTAAATATTACAGCATATATGAACATTGCCCATGCAGAGGCCCGCAATACAATTAATGCGTATCCTGCTGGAGACTCATAAAGATATAATACTTTACCTGGATCAAAAAACTGCACAAGAGAAACAAAAATTAAAACACTCATTTATTTTGTGTTCAAATATGTATTAGCAAAAGCAATCATAGCTTAGAAAATGTTATAAAAGTGATTGTGAACATGCTTGTTTTTGTGGTTGGGTAGAAGTTACGTATTGGAGTTAATTTGAAAATACAAATTCCATAAATAACAGTTGGTAGAGAAACACAAACTACAGTAATAATGTTATCATTTTTCACATATATTGCCACCATTCATTTTATATAAAATGCAATTCAAAAAAATGCAATTACATTTCATTGTTTTTCCTAAGGAACAATGAAGTAACATTTTCTTTCTAGGAATTACATTAAAGACATACATCGCCAACATGCTCTAAACTATATAGAGAGAAAAAATAATAAACAAATTTAAATTTTAGTTATCCATTACCATTAGGTATGCTATATTCATATCTATTTTGTATTTCTTAATAATACGTGCAAAAATCTCCCCATATCTTTAGTTCAAAATAATACTTTATCTCCCATGTTACAGTTGAAATATGTCAAAATATTTTCTCACTGTAAGAACATAACTGAAAAATAAAAAAAATAAAAAAATTGCTACAATTCCATGGGACTAACCATACAAAACAGAAGAAAATATTCAGGCAAGTAAGATACTAGTTGTGACCTTTAGGAGATGAGAAAAAAAAGAAAACAAACATAGAAAGATGAGAATTTTGTGGAAATAAACTACATTATTCTATTACTCTAAACTACATTATTCTAATTCATACATATATTACACAACGAATTAAATGTAAAGACACACCAGGCGTTCATATACAAAGATGGCACAGTAGGTGATGCAATAGAGGCACATGAAGAGAGTCAGTTTGACACCAGAAGCGAGGTGCAATCTGCCTCTTGTGACTGTAAATCCTTTGGCGAGCAATAATAGCAGTAATAAGAAAACTGCTTCACTTGCTGATTCAGATAGCCGCCCTATAGTCAACAGAAAAAATTAATTGGAATGTCAAAACAAAACTGACACCTGTGCCAATTTTGTAAGCATCCTTTATGCTACAAGAGAACTAAGTTTTATCAAAACATTTGGAACTATTTTTGTAAAAAAAAATTGAAAATATCCTTTATGCTTCATGTAAAGTACCCCCCAAAATTATAACATTCTCTCAAACTTGAGAGGCCACGACATCAGCCTGAACAGTTGGGAAATATCAATTTTAGTGACAATTTTTCATATAGTTCAGCTGTTAGTGTTGTTTTGAGACACATGGAGATGTTTACTGTAAACAAATTTTTCTGTATCAAGGATTATCAAAACAAGGATTCTGACTACACAACATGATAGACTAAAAGGCTTACTTTATAAAGGTTCAAGATTTATCCCCTCTATTGATATCAGGAATCTCCAACATGACTTGTCCTGCTAAAAAATGGCAGTTTTTCATTGCAGCATAACTTTCTCTATATTACATAGGTAATATGTGAGGAAGTAACTAGTGGTGCTTGTACTTGTTAGATTTCTCATTTCTTTGGCCTGGGTTAGATTTTAGACTTTGCCCCACCTAGCTGCCATCTATTGTTTCTCAAACTACATTTTTTTCAATTGTTTAGTCCCCTAATGGTAGAACTGAAACACAACTTTAAGGATATAATACAAGAATAAAATCTCATCCCATATGGAAATTTTCATTGAAAAATATTGTGCTGTTTTTGAGAAAATGTTGTTTGGGCATTTCTGAAATTGCCCATTTTAAAGCTTATTTTCACCCAAAACTTTTGAGTTTTTGAGAAACGTCATAAGAAATTATTGAAAGTAAGTGAACTCACAAATACAATCACATATACAAATTGCTGGTTATATAAATATTAATATTGTAAGAGATATTTCAAAAATATTACAGTTGTGTATTTTTTTAAAGAAACAAAAAATACAACATAGTGGCATTGATGCCATGTTGTTTAGTCTACTTAGTTCATCTGTTCAAAAAAATATATAGGAAAAATTTGACACTGTTTTAGCCTTTGAGTGATTCTGGAAATGTGAAATTTTGAGCTCTTTTTCACAGAAAACATACGAAATAAGATATCATTTGAAGCACATGTACTCATAAATGCAATAAAATAGACAAATTACCAGTAATTTAAATATTAATGATGTGAGGGAGATGTCAAAGAATTACATTGGTGTAATTTTTGAAAAAACAAAAGAAAGTAGTGCTACAGAACATCACACACTTTCTCAGACTTGTTACTTTTCTAATTTCTTTGGTTTGGTCTTTTTGGTCTTCCCCCATCCTCTTGCCAGTTCCCATCGCCGTATAAAGTACACTTTTTTCAATTTTTCAGTTTCCTTACAGTAGAATCGAATTATTACTTTAAGAATATTAAAGTAGAGTAAAACCTTGCCCTAAGTGGCAATTTGCACTGAAAAATTTGGAGCCGTTTTTTAGAAAATGGCATTTAATTGTTACTTAAATGCGAAATTTGAAGCTCTTTTTCACAGAAAAGTTTTGAGTTTTCAAACAACTTCATCACAAGTCATTTCAAGTACTTTTACTCGCAAATGCAAGAGTGTTTATAAATCATTGAAATGTGCATATTAATGGTGTGAGATATATTTAAAAAAATTACATTTGTGTGATTATTGAAAAAACAAAAGAATACGGCAAATTTAATGTCATCTTAAACAATGCAATTAGCAATATCTGTAAAAAAAAGCGTGAAGAATCAATTTTAAGCCGTTTGTGAGAAAATAGTGTTTAATCGTTTCAGAAAATACGGAATTTTGAGCTAGTTGACACCGAAAACGGTTGAGTTTTTGAGAAAATTTATACAACATTATTTAGTGCACATGCACTCAATACAATAATGTGAACAATTTGCCACTAATATAAATATTAACAATGTGAAAGAAGTAAAAAATTAATTTTTTGTAATTTTTGAAAAAACAAAAGAATAGAGCAATATGGTGTTTATGTCAACTTATAGAGCACATTTAGCACTATTCCTACTTAAAATTTAAAGAATAAAATTTGGAACAGTTTTAAAGAAAATATTGTTTTGTAATTTTTTAAAATTGCACATATTGCTCACTGTATTGCATGAAAACAACTAAAATGTACAAGATTTTAATGAAAGAAATCACAATAGAGAACAAATTTTATTTGAAGGAAAAATACCTATTTCAAATTCTGTAGTTGTAGGAACATGCCCAAAAAAATTCAAAAGTTTAAAATTTTTAAAAATTCAAAATTTTTGAAAATTTAGAGTCAACCCTGACAGTCAGACTATGCCACCTTAATAAATGTAGTTTACTCTATTTTCACAAAAAAATTTTAAAAACAATTTGAAGCCATTTTTGAGAAAATTTTTAAAATGACTGGAGGCTTCTTGTGAATTTCCCCAAAATTTTGAAGAAAGTTTTTTCAAAACCATAGCACCTCGAGTAGTGCTAGATGGACCGGGGAATATCCGTTTTGGAAAATATCGTACGTATGGTTTAGGCGCTTAGAGGTGTTCTCAGATAGACAGACAGATGGACCGACAGACAGTCAGAAGTTTTGAAGAAAAAAACACTTTTATGGTAACAGGAGACACCAAAACATTTATTTTCGTTGAAATCTCAAAATCAATTTTGCAGTATCATATCCTTCCTTTAACTACATTATTGTCATATTACAAAATTATTATAAATCAACATTATAATACTCCGTATACACTGTATACGGGAAAGTAAAAATGAAGTGAATACCTGGGGGGTATAAACCATTGGATCTACCATACAAACAGGAAAAGTCTGTTAGCCTGCAGTTCAATATAATGATGATTATATACAAAAGTTTCACTTTAAAAGTGCGCTGAATACTCACCCATTATTAGGGCTTGAATTGAACCAATACCATCTAAACCATACTTAATGTATGCAGAACACTGGAGAATAATACCGCATTCTTGTAATAATGCTGATATCATGAAAAGTTTGTAGGTGCTATGTAATAAATGACGATGCTTTAATTCCACTGGGAAAAAAATTACAAACGTTTTAGAAACATCACTTTCTTACAGATACCCTCTTATTATTATCATCTAGGAAGTATTTACTGACAAAAATGTATGTCATAACTATTTATAAAGTCTTCACTATTTCCACAAAGGATATAAGCATGGCAGTAAAATCAAAAAGAGTTGTTCAATCAAGAAATAGTATGGTAATTTTTAAAGAAAAACGTCAATTGTTGCTTTCAAGGATGTTCTTTTAAGGAAATCATAGTGAAATTCACTATTTCACATCAGCTTTCAATTTTAAAATGCATCACAAGAAAAATCTTTTAATTTTAAATAATCAGTTAGGAAATAAAAGTGCAGCACATCATGCAATAAATTGCTCATTTTCCAATAGATCTCTGGAGAGGTTGAATATACCTTCTGGCCCACTGAATTAATGAAGAGGACATTTATACATTTCCAAGAGTGAACATTAATGTGGTGGTCATTTCAATGTCAAACTGTTGACTGACAATCCCTTTTTAACCTGCCTAAATGACTAATAAAAGGAACTCTGTGATAAATGTGATTTCCAAGAAACTCAATTAAGAACACATAATATAATTTTAAAACCAATGTTCAAGTTTGGATCAGTTTACACATTGAATAGAATAGATCAGCAAAGACTGGAGACCAAACAGGTGAGATTTACACCATCTTGCAGAAGTCACTTTGAGGGATCGGTAAAAAAGTAAAGATATTAGAATCAGTCTTTAAACAAAGAATAAAGTAGAAGAAATAAAGAAAGATCAGTAAAAATGGTTTTCTTTCATCTTCGGATTTAAGAAAAAATGATTTGCGAGGACAGAATCTGATCATAAACCAATAGGGAAAAGAGATAGGGGAGAACATAAAAAAATGGTTAGATCAGGTCAAAAGCCACCATTTCTACTGGAAATCAGGAGTCGGCAACATGCCAAATTATTTTTAAATAATTACATAATTCTAACAAATAAATAAATAAATAAATAATACTAAACAATAAATATAGACATATCAATTTTGACAAATAAAGGAAGGTAATAAACCAAATCTCAAGACCTTTGGAGGGTGGGGAAGAGGCCACCATCCCCCCCCCCCACTGGATCCACTACTGATGATATTGTTATATCATTTATATCATTTTAACAAAAATGAAATGCATATATGCAGGGGAAGTTTGTATTAATTTTGCATCAGACATCAATCAATTTTGAGATATTTCTTTCTGCATTTCATCTCTTTAGCTATTAGTATCAATTCATGAAACCTTACTAACCTGTATTACTAATTTCCCACGTAAGTTGAAATTGAGAGAAAACTAGACCATGTAAGATGTATCAGTAATTTTGTTAGATACCCAGGAACTCAAGGAAAAATCAAAAAACACATTTGATGTTGATCAAAAATGCAAGTACTTGACTGAGTTATTTCATCTATTCTCATACTGCAGTACCAGCTGATTTCTCATTGTATATTCATACATACATGGTCTCTGGGGAGGACACATCAACACTTCAAACAATTTTAGCAACTTTAGGCAATTTGAAGCGATAAACTACACAGATATTGCAAATAGCTGAACTGCAATAAGCATTCAAATGTTAGTTTGAAAATATACTTTCTAGGCAAAAATTTGCATTCCAGGAGCATGTAAACACTCCAGAAACATATGAATTGTTTATATTTGCAAAGGAAATGAATATTTTTTTTTTTTTTCAAAAGAAAAATTAACCCAGAAATAAAAAAGCATTGTGGAAATTGGGAGCTTTCTCTGGTTAAAAGATCTAAAGTGTTATGATAGGTATTAAGATTTGTACACATTAATATACATAAAACTTACCAGCACAAGCTATGGCAGCCAAGATGATTATGATGTAAAGAATGCAAAATGTTATCAATATAGGTAAAATATCTGAAACAAAAAAGTATTATTGCATATGTTATAACTTTATGCATATGTGTAATGCATTATATCTTTATTGTGTGCTGTTTTCTTTCTTGGATGACAAAGATCTGTCAATAATTTTCCCTTTTGAATTACAGGAAAAGAAAAGTTAAATGAAACATTTTGAATCAAATAATCTAGCATTAAAAAAAAGAAAAATGTTAGCTCACAGAATTCATCAGCAGAAAAATGCTCATGCCAGAAATCTCCTGTTGGTCCATTAGTCATCCAAAATCGATATTTCAGGCTCAGACCCTGCAAAAAGCATTGATAAATATCCATTTTATTAATTGATATCTTATGTGATAGATTCAGTTGTACATTACACATGAGATCATCTGCATCAAACTAAATATTTGGTTTTTGTATTGGCTTCCTTTGAAAATACACAAATTAATAAAAATTATTAATTCAGTCATAAAATAAAATTCACTACAATTAAATCAACATTAATAAATTTTATATAATTTTATGAGTATGCCATTACTTAATTATAAAATGAATGTTTCCAATCCTCAATACACTTTCTCAATTTTAGGATTAAATTTTCTATTTTGTATATTCATTTACAGTTGCACAAGAACATTTTCCCATTTCCTTAGTTATTATACCTTCGAACTGTTGCAATTAGAAACAGCTATGAACCACCATCGTTGTCGAGCTGAATTGAAGCGACGAGATTCATGACAGCGTACAAGATAACGTTGACCTGTAGTTCGTATAGTTTCACAACCGGAAGAAGGTACTTGATCAGTCAGATTTACTATCTGCTTTCTTGACATCTTAGCAAGGGATTCACGTTGTTCACATGACTGGAAAATCAGCAAAGACAAATATGATAAATTATGCAAATCAAACTAATCAAGATTTTGACAGCTTTACATTGGAGCTATAAAAGATTTGGAGTTTTTAAATTATTTATAATGGAAAATCATCATTATCATATTTTCTTGCTCATCACTTCAATTACATTTATTAATATTGTTAGTTGTTTGGGACTACTTTCCATTGATTATACAGATAATGTTTACTTACCAGTCCAGGAAAGTAAGCAGATGCCCACTGGTCAAATGTATCATAATAAAGAAGTAGTTTCTGCACAGAATATGTCTGCAATTATAAAACATCTTAATGAACAAATTAAATGTTAATACCATTAATTGAGTATAATTTTGTTTACTCACTAACCTTTTCATACTCTATTAAATATTCAAATTTTCCTTCAGCTGAGAGGAAACAAAACCTTTCAATGAATGCCCAATTCTGTAATCAGCAATTGAATATAAATTGAGAAAATAGTGTAGAAATTGTAACAAACATTAAGTCAAAAATCATAGCTTTAAATTTCAAATTACCTCATAAGTGTTTAATTCTCCATCAACTATCTTTGCTTTCACAGGATGAATACGCACAGCTGTTAGCAATAAACTCCCAACAATTAACATTTCAAACCATATCTATTTTTGCTTGTTACAAAAGTTTGCATTCTTCAATATTAATAATATATCAAGAAACAGATTGAAATTATTTTCAATAACTAATTGTAAATAAATTTTGTTTTATTATCTAGTATTTCAAATAATCAAAGGTCATGAGAAATATTTAAAACTTTGCTGCAAACTAACCATTGATGCGATTCAACTTCTTTACATGCTTTCACTTGTGGTTCTGTGTTAGAATGACCTTTGGAGAGAAGTAATCAATATCGGTTGCCATGACAGAAGTTTGTAACCTGTAGTCATGCAATATGCAAATTCAGAACTTGTACAGTAAGGCAAAAGAAAAAAAAGGCACACAATGTTAAAAAACATATCGTGAAAGTCTGTTTTAGTACATTAAAAATAAGAGTCAAGAGTATATATATTATCTTTGAAAAATAACTTATAAGTACTAGAACACAGGATAGGCAAAGTAGTTAAAACATCAGAAACAGGCTGAAGGTCAAAAATGAATTAGAAGAAATAAATAATGAACAGAGAAAATGGCTCTCTCACATTAAAAAAATGAAACTAGAAAGATTACCAACAGTTGTGTTGAAGTACAAACCAGCAGGGTGAAGGGAGGGGGGAAGACCACAAAATAAATGTCTAGAATAGAAACACTTGGAAGTGTAAGCCTCCTGATATACTGGGAAATAGGAACAGAAAACAGGCCCAGCAATCTGCAGTTAATGATGATGATGATGACAATGGTGATGATGATGATGATGATAATGATAAGTAGTAGTACTCTACAGCAGTGAAACAAGGTATTGAAGGAATTGAAGGAGCACAAATGAGACCAATTTTAGAAGTGTCAAGGATGGACAAAATAATAAATAAAGAATATAAAAAGCAAGAACATTATTGAAGTCTTGGTGAAGTATCCAAAGAAATGTCAAGATCATATAAAGAAGACAAAACCAACCAGACTACCAAAACTAGTGCTAGAGTATAGACTGAGCGGTGAAAGAGAAAGAGGCCGATCAAAGAAGAGATAGGAAGACCAAGAACACCTTGACAGGACTACTGGAAGAATAGGAAGAGACCATTGGACTATAGCTTCACAGTTGATAATGATGATGATGAATAGCACTAGTACCAGTACAAAAGATAGTATAAATATCTCAAAAGAATGAATTCTGAATGTATGCCCTAAATAAATAATTTTAGCTTCCTATACGATAATTCAATAGAATATTTTTCTTCATATCTTTATTTTTCAGCAAGCGTTCAGAAATATTTTCCAATACTAAACATCATTCATGAGGTTACAAAATAACATTCAAGATGGTGAGAACGAGCTCTTCAAAATGTACATTTACTTGAAGGATGGTGAACACTTTCCATAAAATGTATTTATTTATATATTAAATCTTCATACAACATATTGGCAAAGATCATTAGGCACTTTACAAAATAAGGCATTATTACTTTGACTGTGTTTTGAGAGAATATGTATCTCAAATAAATTATTTCACATCATGCTCACTACAACAAACATTTTTTTTAAAAATAAGACAGTCCATAAGAAAATAGTCCAACTTTCATATAATAATCACAAAATAGAGTGAAAGAATAAGAAAAAATACATTCATTAAGGAAATTTTTTGCTAAGAATTTCTTTTGCTAGATCAGTCATGTTACCACTTTATATGAATATCTTTCATTTCCTTACTGAGTAATAACATTCTTGCACATGCCAACTCCTCACTTTGTAATAAGATTTGACAGGTGATTTTTTTCTAACATCATTATTCAGTAAAAATATGAAGGTCCTCTCTAAATGTTTTGCAGATTCTCCAAATTTCCAAGTTAGGTTAAATATTTTTTACATTCTGATTAACAAAAAAAGCAATAAAAATGTCATCAAGAAATAAATATTTAAAGATATTTGTTTTTAGAATATTATGAGATAGGTATCTAATAAATACTTTACTGTTTTTTTTTTTTTGTTTGCTTTTGTTAATTTTTTGCATGTGGTAAGCCCTACAGTTGAAACTTTTTTAAACACAGAGATTAGAACTCTCCTCTAGTTTGGAGCATTCATTGCTGTGTTTGTTTTAAGTTGCCATTGTTATATGTTACTCAAAGTTTGCATTTAGCAACAATATTTATTTTTGTTACAAATGTAAATATATATATATATATATATATATATATATATATATATATATATATATTACAATGTTCTTAGAAGAAAACAATTTTCAATTCTACCAAATGACATTATTTTAAGTCTTATAATAAAAAACATTCAATTCCATAATTTCTGGAGATGGTTTATGGACACATTAAAAATAATAAAATGTTTCCCTCGAACAAGATTTACAATAAACTATTCAGAAAACAATTTCATTCAATAAAAAATGTTAAAAACTTTTATGGAATTTTCACATTTCATTTAAGTCCATTTTAAGGATTTCAATGAAACCTATTATTACATGTTCTTTATAAATGAAAACATAAAAGTAAGGAAGAAGTGTAACCCTTTAAATGCCTGTGAACTCTATACATATGTGTCACAATGTGCAAGAAGTTCATGTAATTTGCATATATGATGATCTGAACATGATCCTAGTTCATACACATACTCATTCACATAATATTTTGTTCACACATAAGTGCTGCAAAAAAATTAGCCCTCAATCTCAAAGTACAGTTGTAAAGGCTTTGTTTATTCACACATTGTACACGGTTTCAATATCATAGTTATAAAAAACATTTCTTATACATTTCGATTTAAAATAAAAAAGGGTGAAAAGAATTTCAAAAATAAAATTGAACACATTTTTTTAAACTAAATTTGTGAAGTGAAAATTACACAATATATTAATAAAATGAAATACTAAAATACATATGTAATATTTTGATTTTGTAAGAAGCTTGTTTTAAAAGGTAACTGATAAACATGCAGTCATCAAATCTTGAGAAGGAAATGTTCATTTTTGTTAATTCTCATGGTCTCTGCCACTTCAATCTGTTGTACAAGTAGTATTGAGACTTTCATGGATGGCATTCTCAGATGACCAAAATGAAAATATTAACCTTATCTCTTGCTCATGTGACAATTACAAAGAGATTTTATGGCACCACTTGATCTAGTCATTCCAGGTACACTCTCAATTTCTTCAGAAGAATGCTGATGATGATCTTCTAGGATTTCCAATATTGGTATTGGATCCCAGCGCCAAAATACAGCATTATTATTTTGACTGTGTTTTGAGAGAATATGTATCTCAAATAACTTGTCTCACATCATGGAGGTTTCATGGCATGATGGTTTTTGTCTTAGGAACCTAAAGAAATAGTGGTTTTCATTAGCCGTAAGAAATTAATTTTCAAATTCAGAAAACCTAAAATTTTATTTTCAAAGAGATAAGGGAACTGCACTTACAATATAGAAAACTATGTCATTTCAATTCACCACTGTGTGACTTAAGCAAAAGAGTTCCAGAGGGACGTTAGTTGTCCTGTCACCTTGTAATGACTGAGGGTCATGTTTAGGTCTATCAGGAGCAGTGACAAGGATGGGAGGTAAGGGGGCAGAAGGTGCATAAACATGATGAGAAAATGGCAATGTCCCATCTGGATCTGCATCTTGCATTGCTGCCACCTGTGATGTTCGCACTTCATATGGGAAGACTTTGTTGATTGTTGTTGGCAAAGTAAGAAACTAAAAATAAAATTGTAATGACTGAACCTTATTTGACAATAATGTTTCTCATTCACTTCTCTAGTTTTGATTACATTTGTACTCACCAGAAACTGCAGGTGTCCACACAATGTAATAAAATGAAGTTCACCACAAACAACACTCTCACAAACCAAATTTTTTATAAAGGTGTTAGCGATTATAATAAATGTTGGACCAGATACAAACCTACAATAGTAAAAAAAAAAAAAGGTTTTATAATGTTGCCTCAATTAAATTTAATATAATTTCTATGATTAACAGTTTGTACTCGTTATTTAAATAATATTTTTTAAAATTATTTTTCTATCCTAAATATTATTTTATTTTTACACAAATACATTTACATGATATAGTGTTTAGTTGTATAAAAATAAACAAAATTCTCTGAAATGTATTTTAATGTCCTGAATTTCTTTGTTATCCTTATGGCAACCCTAAGCAAGCTCTCAGACAAAAATTTCATTAGAAAAAATGAGGTCATAAAATAAAATTCAAGATTGTGAGAACTAGCAGTATATTGACTCACCAAAAGGTACATATATTGTAAGAAATGGAACACATTTTCTATAAAATGTCCATTAACTCTTCACACAACACTTTGGCAAAGATCTTTGCTCGCTTTACAAAATAAGGCACTACTATGTGCTTTGAGAGAAGATGCATCTCAAAATCATTTATCTCACACATGAATACTACAAAAAATTATTTTTATACCACATTTTGAAAATAATCCAACTTGTTTTATAATAAACACAAATTACTGTGCAAGAATTAGAAAAATACTTACGTCAAGGAAATTTTTGCTAAGAATTTCTCTTGCCAGATTAGTCAAGTTACCTCTTCTTTCCATCATCTTACATTTCATTTTAGAGAAAAAAATCCTCCAAAAGTCAATTCCTCACTTTGTATCATGAACTGACATGTGAATTTTTTCTAACACCAGTTCTCATTATTCACTAACTGCTAGAATGCACAAAAATTGAAGAGGTCCTTCCCAAATATTTGAAGTGTTCCCTGAATCCCCATGAGATGTTAAATTTTGTTTACATTCTGAATATAAAGTAAATAAATATATATTTTTTAAATTCTTATAAGTGTTTGATAAATATTTTTCTCTTTATTTTCTTTTGTTGTTGTTGTTGTTGTTGTTGTTAATAATAATAATTTTTTTGCATTATTAAGGCAAGCAAATATAGTTAAAACCTTCAGAAGAACAGAGGTCTGAAAAATATGATGTCTCTTTCTTCTAGTTTGGAGCATTTGTTGCTAT